AGGCACAAGATAAAAATGTGTCTGGGAGATAGAGGAGACAAGACCAAAGGGTGAATTTGTATAGACTTGTGTAGAGCCTTGTGGGCAAAGAAAACAAGCTGAGTGCCGTAGCAGAGAGAGAAAACATTTTTTGCAATGGTGGTGTGGAGGAATATGAATCAAAAAGGCCAGAAAGAGGAGTTAACAGTAAAAAGGACAAGCACTCCAGCTGTTGCAAGAAAAGCAAAGGGCTACTCATATTCATATGCTCTACTTGTGTAAATGGAGAGTAGTATTGGCTCTCTGTTTTACAAAACCCTGTTTTCAGAAATAAGTTTGTCAGCCAAAGTAAAGAGAAAAAGATCAATGAATTGCAATAAATGGCATTTAACATAAAAATGAGTAAAATTTACAATTCAGTTAACTTGTTAAATGTTAGAAAATCAGCAAACAATAGACACAATTTGTTTTGTTCAGAGCCCAGAGGTAGAGACCAAATCCTCTAAATTAATTTCTGCAAAAGCTGGGGTTTTTTTTCCAAACAGGTCTGGATCCTATTCGTTGTAGAATATACTGATTACCAACTATTTTTAAGAGCTTTACACAAACATTATTTCTTTTGTTGTGTGAAATGCAGAATCAGCCATCTGGCAAATGCCCCAGAGCTAAAATCTTTTACATGACATATAATTCAAAATGATTAAATATACAACAGAAAATAGCTATAGCATTGCACTTAAAATAGCATGAACTTTTACTGCCGATCAAAACTGATTTCTTTAGCTTAACAAGTATCCAAAGAACAATTATTTGAAGAGCTTTTAAGAGTTTCAATATGTAGGAACTAAACCTCATCTAAATTCAGTATCTTAAGTAAAATAAAAAAGAAACAAATGTACAAAAGATTAAATGGTCCTGTGTTATAAGTAGACATTTAAATCTATGGGAAGCTAAATTCATTCGAACAAAAATACTATATTCCCTCTGTATGTGTATTGCTGGGGCTTTCCTCTGCATTGCTAAGGGCATCTGCCAAAACAACTCTTACATTCTTAGGCAATGACTAGGGACTAGCTTGGAATCAGACTGTTCATCCACTCCCTCCATCATCAGAATGGGCAATTTCAAAGAAGAACAGGGAATAAAGCTCCGTGCATGATCCCTAAGTGCAGTCAATCTTTTTTTCCTGCACCACAGTCGACTCAGTTAAACTTGCTGTCTTTCTTCCAGAAATACTCCAGGCCTGAAAAATTGCCAGGTCCTCATCCCACACCCAGTTCTCCAGTAGTTTAGGAGAAAGAGCACGCAAACATCTGCGTGTATTTGGGGTACGTGAGGGTAGGTACAGAAATAATACCCTGCGTAATTATTGAGTGGTTATGGCTCTGCTTCTCAACTACGTTTTTCAGACAAGTCAAAGTCCACATTTCCCAAAAAGCACTTGCTGCAAGTCAGATCTGAGTTGTAAGACAAAAAAGTCTAAATGTAGATGATTTATGTCATGGCTTTGCATACTTGGATAAACCTGAAATGTATGGATACATTGCTGCTGACTTTCCAAAAAATGTTGCTTCTAAATTCTTTCAGACCAAGCATGAGAGAACCTTCACCCCAAGATAACAATGTGAGGAAACTGTAAATCTGTGATTACTAAAGTTTAGGATTAAAATGGCTTTGCACCCTTGCCTGGGGAGTTGGGTCAGCCTCACAACCAAGGAACCTCAGACGTTCTAACCCCAGACTTTTTTAAACCATAATAAAATAATGCTCTTGAATCTTGATTTTTTCAGCTCATAATGATCCTGAAGTCTACAAGACTTTCAGGCTTGTAAAAATCTTAATCTGATTGCTGCCTCGTTTGGGATTGCAGCAACACCAAAATCTCTCCTCTTAATAAGACATTTGTCCTGGTTTTCAGGGCCTAATCCTGCTCTTAATAACATTCATATTAATTCAGTTACCTGACTGAGCTTTTAGTGTAAAGGCAGGCTTTGTGTCTTTCTGCTCTTGATGTTATTTGAAGAGATGCATATATTTCAGGTAATATTGACTGCAGCATAGAAAGCTACCCTATGCACCATATACATACTAATTAAACCTGAAGATGGATTATGAAAGTAGTAGCACAAATATTCTCATATTACAAAGAGCAGAAGCATGCTTTTTATTACTTGTCCCATCCTTGGGAGAACCACAGGAGAAACAGGGCAATTTTCTTTGCTTTTCATCAAAAGAGAGGTGTCCCAGGCAATCTCTTATAATCTTTTCCATCTCAGTATAAAAAAATTTCTATTTTTGATGGTATTTTCTCTTTAAAATCCATGGGCTTCTCCAATATCCAGTGTTCCTAAAACCTGAATGTCACAGCTCTTCTTGTACCTCCCTGCTTTGCATTAAACGTAACATCACATATTTTCTACTTTTCACTGAAAAACTGGGAAATCTTCCCATCTTTCTATTGACCAAACTTTGTTACAAAGGTGCCAGGAGTTCTATTTCGGGGGGGGGAGGAGGGGAAAAAAAAAAAAAAAAAAAAAAAGAGTAATACTCCTAGTGAAACAGGAGTCTATTCCCAGTATCTATTTAAAATAAACAACGTATCTTCTTACAAATGAGCGTTCCCATTCTTATTTATGTGTCCAATTTTGCGTACTTCGCAATACTGGAAAAAAGAAAAGATTGAAGAACACATGGAGAATCAAGAGAAATTTGAGCATCCCTGAGGAAACAGAGGTTTAGGGACGGAGTAATAACTGCAAGTTTGTAATGAGAATTTGGAAAACTTTGCTAGATAAAAACATATAACAAAACTGTTGCTGTCATTTCATTCCCTGGGCCTGATTATGTTCTCATGATGGGCCTTTGCACTGGTTTAACAGTAAGAGCTCTAAGTAAATGAGTATGAGACCTCCACGCTAGTGAAATGCAGGGCTTGCCAAATTTAACAGGAGTCTCTACGGTACTCTACATCCACTCATCTTAACAAAGAAGCGGTGGAAGCAAACTCAGAAGTTTCAAATGGCGTCTCTTTTCTTCTCTTCTGGAATGGTACCTGGGTGCTGCCAGTTTGGAGGCAAGTCAGCGCCAAGGCTGCATGCTTCCTTGTCCTCTTTCACAAACAGCCGAGAAACAATCAGAAATTGCTTCATAATGGGGCCAGGGTGAAAGGTGAGAACTGGAGTATTCTGAAAGCCTGCTGCCAGACCTGAGGAAGATAGTGTCATTTTGGTAAACCTGTCAAGCTGTTGTAAGAACTTCCTGAATGCTTCCTACCATCTGCTTTTGATGCTTTCAAGACTTGGCTGGAAGCCTGGAGGTTTTCCTGCTCCTTCCTGCCCAACCTATAATGGAGTAATTCTGGATCTGTTCCCTGTCATCCCAGCCTCTTCCTCAGTTTCTTCTGCTTACAGCTGGGTTTTTTTAACTTTTTTTTTTTTTTTTTTTTTACTGCAGTGGCCTTGTGCCCTGAATCATCTCTCCTGGGGCGGTAAGAGTTCCTCTGATGTTGAACAAGTGCCGGGTTTTTCAATTGTGTTCATGTTCTTGAGAGGAAGGGTCTGGCCTACATGACACATTCCTTCTTCACACTCACATCAACAAGTTTAACTTTGTGTCCCGGGCTCTCAGTGGAACGGCCACACAAAGCACATCTCCAACAACTCCGTCAGACTGCACGCTGTGCTGGTCTGGTTAGCGAATATTGATTGATATAATTTGTAGGGTTTGAGATAAATGTCATAAAGGACAATGAGTTCAAAGAACAGATTAAAAAACAATAAATTGAATTCCAAGGCGTTCCCTCCTGTACTAATCTGTGTAGGTTCCTGTGTTTTTGGAAAGCATGTTGCTTATCTTCCTCATCAGTAGGCCCACTGCATTCCAGTATTTTGGATCAATGCCATTTGTAATAATCTAGATCAGTTTTTATTCAACGTTTATAAAACAGGCCATGTATCATAGGGTATATTTTATAGCAGATGGTATCTCCAATTCATTTAACGCCCCCCTTCACTTCCCTCCTCCAATATCACAGTGCATACTTACAAAAGCTCTTGAAAGTAGAGCTGAGCAGAATTTTTTTCAACAAATAGTAAATTTGCTGAAAAATGAAGTTTCCAAGCAACAAAACTGTTAAACTGTGGCACACTGAAAATGAAATGTTCTAGAAATACAAGGTCTTGCAACTTGGACATTTGGGAAAAAAAAAAAAAAAAAACAACAACCAAACAACAAAACAAAGAAAGAAAGGTGGGTTGGGTGGTTGATTTCAGGAAGAATTTTAACTAAAAAATAAAATCTGCACTAAAAAGGTGAAAACCACAAAGGTTAAATAGCCAGAACACAAAGCATTTTTTTCAGGTCAGATTACACTTTTTGAGTTAAGCCAGAGTCAACTGTTTGGGGATCTTTTGTGTGGTTTTAATTTGAAAAGTTTCTCTTTTGGCTTGATGAGAACTGATTTTCCCTAGGGCTTATTAATTTGGGGAATCAGCCACAAGACCCAGTATTTGCCAGACTCTACTCAAAACACAGATCTACAAGGTGACAAGAAAGTTGCCTGCTCAGGAAGGCATTTAAACATAGCCCTAAGACTCATTTTAATAAAATGGACTATCCTTACATGTAGAGATAAGCGCATGCTCACTAAGCACTTTGCTGGCTCACAACACAGAGTGTATTAGCTTTCAGGATCAATGATGTACACCTTATGACCACTCCCTTGATTGAGATCATAGTGGAAAAGATTGAAGATTTTCCTGAGATTAACATACCAAGTGGTAATAAAATATATTTATTCATATCTGCTTGGGAATACTTCATTGCAATTTTGCAAAATATGATTTATACAACTCTGGGGATACATAAATCGCTGACAAAAATAAATAAATAAATAATATTTTAGCTCAGTGATAACAGAACCAAATCATGGGCTTCTTTATGTTTTAGCTTTAATCACATATCCTAGAAGATATGACAAATAAACTCATCTTAGTTTACCTTGCAGCAGAAGTTAATCATACCTGCGTTTCTCAGAAACCTGAGTCTGTAGTCAACAATAACTTTGGTTTCAGGATTATAGAATCCATCACCACAGTCGTAACATCCTTCTGGGATTTTTCTGGGAGGATCCAGATTTGTGAGATGAAAAACGTCTGAAGATAAAAAAAAAAAACCAAAGTGTTTGCTTTATTTCTCTTTGCTTCTTTTTGTTTCATTTCTGCCTTTGATGAAGATAACTAACAAATATTACACCTCCATTGCATGTTCTATAAAAACAATGCAGTTACCTTACAATAAATTTTATAAAACATTTTGACAATTTTGCAGATGGAGAAAATGAAAATGGAAAAATCAAGACATAAAAAGTGTGTGATGGAAAGATATCCCTTTGATTTCTCCATTCACAGTCCTGTGATTCAGCCCACGAAGCTAGCATTACAAATATGACCCCAAACTCCAAAGTGGGGCCAGGAGAGTCTTGCTGGCCTCACAGAACAACTACATGTCATCGCTGAAATATTCTATGTATAAAGAAGAGTATTTTATGTATTATGTCACATATTTTAGAAATCCTTTTTACCTTTTGTCTACAGACAAATAATAACACTACAAAACTCTTTAGCAAAAATATAGACTGGACACAAATGTTTATTTTGGTATCCATTAAAAAGCTACGTGGGACAGATGCATTCAAACTTTATTTGATGTTCTGGATGTAAATGAATTGCTTTTGCTCATGTTTTCTATATTTGTCCTGGGTTTGAGTGAGTGGTGGGGTTTTTTGCACACTGCTAATGCAGTGAAGGTGAAACGTATGGAAGGGCTAATCAGGATATCAAAAGCTGTAGAAAACAAAGCCCTGTGCCATGGGTCATCACTCCAGAGGAGACCACGCTGCATCCTGGGCTGGTGGAAGGTGGTGTCAGCATTCTTCTGGCAGCATCGTACCGCCGAGTCCTGAAATTAGCCAGAGCATTTCTGCTCCATGTTACTCATGTAGCCAAATTAATCTTTCTTAAGCAAAGTTGTTAGTTTAATTCCTTCCAGACTCTTAGGATCGCAAATGCAATTCAGTACCTGCTGGTTTAAGACCAGAACAGATTTCTGTGTAAAATCTTCTGTCGTAGCCGTCACAGTAACGCCATTTTTTATCTTTGTATTTGAGACCATCTGCAAAAGTGTATTTCCCCTGCAAAATATGTTCAAGCACAGCGTTAATAAACATGATGGATGGATTGAGTATGACCAAGGTCAGCATTCCCACTGACAAAACCGCGCGTGAGCCGAGCGGGTGCGCAGTTCAGCTCGGGCTGAAACAGCGTTGGGAACCGCACCTGCGGAGCAGCAATCCCCCCTCACACACAAGTTTGGGTGCAAAATGCCACCGAGGGGGGCGAAAAATTGGCTCGGCTGGGAAATCTGCGTACTCCACTTCAACACTTCCCCTGCAGTGGGGCCTCCGGGCAGGGCCTCCCCGGCAGCTGAGGCCCCTCAGGGTGAGGCGTCCCCCCGCCTGGGGTACCTGCGTGGGCACCCCGCGTTCCCAGACCGCCCAGTATCTCCCGCCGTTGGGGAAGAGCAGCTCTCCCTCGCCGTCGAACATCCCGTCCCTCAGCGCTCCCCGGTACTCGGTGCCCGTCGGCAGCGTGTAGCAGCCTTGTCCCTCCATCCTGGAAGAGACGGGGCGGTTGGGGAAGGGGGGGACGGAGCGGGGGTGCGGGCAGCCCCCCCCCCCCCGCGCCCCGACGGCCCCACCTGCCGCGCACGGTGCCCCCTCTGTAACGCCCGCCCGTCCCCTCCATGGCCACCCGGCTCGACGGCGCGGCCGCGTCGCCGTGGCAACACCGCCCCCTCCCCGCCACAGCCCCGCCCCGCGCATGCGCACTCCCCGCCGCCCCGCCGCCGGCGGCGGCGCACGCGCGGGCGCTGAGGGGAGCTGAAGGAGACCGCGCCGCCATGGCGGGCTCCGTGCAGGTCCCCTCCTTGGAGGAGCTCGACGTGCAGGAGGTGAGTGAGCGCTCGCCCGCCCGCCCAGCCCTTCCTCCGCCCGGCCGGCGCCGAGGCGGGCCGCCCGTTATCGCCGCTCTGCCCCGCTGTAGGTGAGCGTCAGCTCGGCCGTGCTGAAGGCCGCGGCCCATCACTACGGCGCGCAGTGCGACCGCCCCAACAAGGAGTTCATGCTGTGCCGCTGGGAGGAGAAGGACCCGCGGAGGTGCCTGCAGGAGGGCCGCCAGGTCAACCAGTGCGCCCTCGACTTCTTCAGGTGAGCGGGGACCACCCCCCACACCCACCCCCCCCCCGGCTCCCCGCGCCCCGCAGGGCGCCCGGGCGGAGACCCCGCGGCTGCGCCCGCCCGGCGGAGGCCTCGGCGGCCCCCACGCCCTTGCGGGGTTCTCCCGGTGCAGGGCGGCGTTGCCGAGCGTTGTTATCAGAGCGCTAGCGATCACCCGGTTTAAGTAAAACTGCTGCCACCCCCGTGACCTTCAGAGCCTTTATTGTTGCTTCTTAAACTGTTACCTCTGGAGAATGGAGGCCGTGACCTTTTTTTGTTTTGCGTTAGTTACTTATACTTTAATTTATCTGTTCATATGAAGCTCCGTGGCCAGCGTAAGTGGCTCCAGTTTTTGCTATGTTGGCAGAGGAATGCTGAGGGGGGGTGGAAGGCTTGCTGCTTCTGCACCTTGCAGCTGCACTACAAAATCCAAGAAACAGACCTAAGCTTTGCACTGCCTGTCCTCTGTTTCACACGTGAATTACTGCCAGACCTCAAGTAGATGCATCATTTGCCTCTTCTAACCAAAAATGTAGATCCAAGGCCTGCACCAGTATCATGTCCTTAAGTTGCTTGTAAAAGGCCTAGTTTAATTACCTCAAAGTGTGTCCACTTCCAGTATAGGAGCTAGTAATCAGAAATCTCTGTTCTAAGCATGTCTTCTTGGGCTTAAGACATCAAAATAATTTGGAAGCGTTTGAGCGTTGTATGATATACACCGAAACAAAGGATCTCATGGAGGAGCTGAGTACATCTACCTAGCAAGAATACCTTTTACATATAAGTTAAGTTCTTCTTGTCCTTACTTGTAGCTACAATGATAGAAATTTTAGTGGTATTGATATCAAGTTCTGTTTAATGATGCTTCAAATACTGACTTCTCCAAATAGTTTAAATGTTTCCAAAACCTTAAAACTACACAAAACTCTGTCACAAGTTGAGGTTTGAATGGGTAAGAGAGAAAAGCATTAAAATTACAACACTTGCTAACAAGTTTCTTTCTGTGATTTCTTACAGGAAGATTAAGATGCACTGTGCAGAGCCGTTTACTGAGTACTGGACATGCATCGACTACACCAACTTGCAGGAGCTCCGTCGATGCCGAAAGCAGCAGGCAGTATTTGATAACTGTGTGCTGGAGAAGTTGGGTTGGGTGAGACCTGATCTGGGAATGCTCTCCAAGGTAACTTCATACTGTTCTGATGCGGTAGCCAGGTTCTTCTCTCCCTTACGAACATTTTGTCCAGACCAGATCTCAAACCCTTCTTCCAGTCAGAAAGTGATTCATGAACTCGACACTGGAAGCTTGTGGACTTAATAAAGACTCTCTCAGCATTCTCCAGGGTTGCTTTCCCGGAAGACTTGCACTTTTCTTAGACAATGACACTTAGTTTTGGTTTTCCTGGTGTAGAGACTTTTCCTTTAGGAGTGAAGCTCACACACATGTAGAACTACTCTGTAGTCCTGAGTGAAATGCCCCTCCCCTGCCTTTAATTAGAAGTGCTTTGGAGATAGGAGCCTTCATCAGATCGGCAGTGTGTCCTTAATGTTGCCTGATACTTCTTTGTAGTTCCTCTGTGGAGCTGTGACTCAATCTAGCTTTTCTGTTAAATGCTGTGACAAGTTGTATAATTTCTTCTTCTTCTTTCCAGGTTACGAAAGTGAAGACAGACCGTCCTAAGCCTGAGAATGCCTATCACTCTAGACCTAGGCCAGAGCCAAATCCACCCATTGAAGGAGAGCTGAAGCCTTCTCCTTTTGGCAGTAGGCTCTTTTTCTGGTCTTGGTAAAGTAGGCAGAATGTGCTGTAACTACAGTGCAAAGATGTATTGCTTGCAAATGTAAATTGTCCCGTATGCGTTGGATATAACTTTAATGATTAAAGAACCCCAAACCATTACCTGGCTTGGTAGACTTCTTTAAACACACTCGCACATCATAGCAACTGAAAAAAATGTGTTTCCCTGTTCTGCACAGTGCTCTCGGCAGTCACAGGGCCCTTGGGACCCTCTGAGCACTGGTAATGCTGGTTGCTTGATAGTGACTACCAGGCTTGTTTGAGAGGTGTGTAAATGTAGCCCGAGTCTTTGACCACGGTTTCAATCAATCAGAAACTGGTGTGAGACTTTATTTGCTTTTTGAGAATGCTGCCAGTTGGATCAAGGAAACTTTGAGAACAAACAAGTCATTAATATCTTCCCTTAGTCTTGCAACTGATAACTGTTGAATTTTTTCCAAGGGACTCCTGTATACATTTAACCTAAAATCTGTCTTGGGGCAAGGGTTTAGTCAAATCTGTGGCTTTTGCTAGGTACGAGGTCAGTGCTGTTTCTGACATGGAGATCCTTGTTCTACTTACCAGCTACTCATTCCTCATGCAGCTGGGTTAGTGGCTTCCATTTTTTTATTGGTGGAACACAAGCTACTTCATCAGAAAAACTGTACTAAACTTTTGGCACCTTTTAAAGAAAAATTATCTCCTAAAGGATCTTCTTGTCCCATTAAACAGTGTAAGAAGGTGGCTTGTCTTCTGCCTCAAGGCCCTGACTTGAGGGGCTTGGGGCAGATCCTTCCCATTGCTTCACTGTGATAGTCTTTTTGGTGGAGGAGTAAATCAGCTTTCTCTATCTTTTCTATAATATCTAAAAGTTGTATGTTTCATGAGAAGTAGATCTAGTCTTTCATCCACTTTGACCCAAGAGCAAGAACCTTACTAGAAAGGTCAGAAAGAAATTAACTTTTTTTCACAATGCCAGGTGCAGTTTAGCTTTCTCTGAGCCAGTGTGTGTAGCCTGAAGCACAGCAAAGACCAGACTAGCACTTTGCTCCTTGAGTAGCCTAGCTGTTACTAGGATCTGAAGATTTACCATCTCCTTGTTTGGGGTAGGATTAAACTGTAATGGGTCTAGCTGCAGCATATGTTTCTGATCCATGGAGCTAGAGGGAAAATTGTATAACATTTATCTAAAAATAGCTCATGCACTGTGTGGCTCATGGGTTCTTGCTACTTTCTGCTTGGGTGTGTTGACTGGAACTTAAAGCAGGTGCTATGGCATACATGTTTGCATTTTAACGTACTTATGTTGTCTTAGCAGCACCTTGTCTAAATCGGTGAGATGGTGTGCACCTTTGCAGTTTCTTGCAGATCCCTGCCAGCATTTGAGAGCAGCCACGTACTGCTGAAGAAAGATAACCCCTTGCTATGAGATTGAAATTAGGGCAAGCTTGAGGTCTAATTATATTCAGCTGAGTGAGTGAAATGAGGTTTGGCCAAGTAGAGGATAAATTGTTCTGGGGTGTTAACACATGTCACATCTGATCTTTTGTTGCTGACCCACTCCAGTAGTTAGGCAGCCTTACAGAAAGACTTCAGATATTACTTGCTAAGTTTTGCTAATAACTAACTATTGTCAGCATAATGTATGAAACATTGCACTGCTGAACATCTGCTTTTGAATAAACAGGCATGGGCATTCCAGTAGTCAGCCCCTAATCATAATTAAAGAGTATTTTTCCTATTAAATTGCTTCTGAAAAGAATGACGTGCATGAATAGGGGGGCAATTTTTTTAAACAGCCTTCTATGACCCCCACCCTTAAACTGGCTAGTATTGTAAGCAAAAAAAAAAAAAAAAAAAAAAAAAAAGTTATGCTGGAGACTCAGAGGTTTAAGATTGTTCATGTGTTTTATGACAGCTGAATCTACTACCTCTTGGGTCAGAAGTGGTTGATCCAGTGTCCTGGGTTGAGGACTGATGCACTGACCACGTTTAAAGCCGGATTTAACTTACCTGCTTGCCCGGATTCCCACTTCGGTTTCAAGCAGGAGTGTGCAGGTGAATGTACAAAAAAACCAGCAGAGGAGGACGATGAAGTGATAAAGTCAAGTAGAATTCAGCTGTACTGTGAGCGCTTCTTTCATTAACCTCTGAGAGATAATTGCTTCTTGTCTTTATCTTTTGGCTGACTCTGCAAAAAAGTGTTGCCAAAGGGCTGTTTGTTTCTTGGCGCTTTGGACAGTGCCTGTGTGTAGCTGTTTCCGTTCAAAATCGTTGTGTGGCTTTACTCAAACATAGATGCCCCCTTTGGAGCTGTAATGTTTTCTTGGAAACTTTAGAACAAGTGAATGTCAGGATTGAGTAAAGACCATAAAAGTATTTTTGCGGAATGTATCTTGACATTTTTTTGGCAGATGGAGAGCAGACACATACAGATTCAACACAGATATTTTGCTGGTGATGTGAGAAGTGTTATTTGTTATGTTGGAGGCTCTTAGTTCTGCCAGAGCTTCTAATGACGTGTGTCAAATTAGCAAAATATGAAGCCAGTGTCGTGGTGGCTTGCCATACCATGGCTTAGATTAGGCAGAACCTGCCCTGTTCTTTCAGATTATGGATGGGAAGAGTAAAATCCTAGTGTAATTTCTGATCTCAGTCTGGTAGGAGTGTGTGTTTCTGGTGCAGCAGAATTGCATGGTGCTAGCACAACAGCATCCTTCTGAAGAGAAAGTCCCCCTCCGAGACATCTGGGCGTTTGACAAGCCCTGGTCCCAAAGGGTTCTGCTGAGCTCCC